GGTGCACTGCTATCTATGCTCTACTTGGCAATTGACATACAGGTTTGTTTCTTTTTTCTTTTTTGAAGTTCCTTCATTTAATGAGTACTTTTACGGCTTATCATGGGTGGTCGACGGTTTGAGCTTTCACCTGAAGAGTACATATTTGCTTCGATGCAGATATTTTTGGATATCCTGAACATATTCCTCTTTATGTTGAGAATATTCGGAAGTAGATGAAAACAAAATGGATTATTGTACAAAATGGTGTTATACGTTGTAAATTTGCATATATGTTTTTATTCCGTGGTTTTGCACAATGATTCGCTTTGAATTTTAAAGGTGGTTATGTTGAGGGACTATTGACAGTTAAGTGTTTCAACTATACAAAAAATTCTAAGACAATGTAGGCGAATCTATTGAGTTTCAAATGCAATCTGATTAGGAGTTTCTTGATTAAAGCCGTGAAACATTTACCTTAACCGTCTAAACCATGTTCGCACTCAGTAACATTGATCAACTCGGCGGGGCACAGAATGGGAGAAATTTCAGTTCATCATGATTTTAGGAATGGAAAAAAGATTTGAAGGTGTAATCTAGCTGAGGTGTGGAAGAGGCTTACGAAAGATATCCCAACCTAGTCAAGCAAGAGCTGTAGCACACGACCGCCGAATGCATCCTCCCTTGTGTCTTAATAGGCCTCTCAGCGTAATCGGTTAGTAGGCATAGCATGAGGCCCTATCAAGCATAATGAGTAACATCATCTTAGGGCAAATCTCGTATTTTTCTTCACATATTGGACTCCCCATGACTTAACACAAAACACTACTCCTTCTAACCCACATGAACACATGAGAATCTCACATTAAATAACTGCCGAATCATGATTTGATAGCCAGCCAAACTCTCGTTTGTCTCACTTTGCTCTTCCGATGATTGTCGCCCAGCAACTGTTTCACAACTTAAATTAGGAGAACGCATTAGGCATAAGGCTCATATCATCTCTAGGGAGGCAGAAAATCGCGTCAGACACGCCGCTACATCCAATGACAACGTCGCAACGTACGTGTCCTAGCGCGATTCTGCGATACTGAATGAGGGCGATACTGGATCGAAAGCGGGTCTGTTTGCACTTTTGAAGTTTATTCCTCACTCCAGAAGCAGTATTTCGCACTCGCATCGGGCTGTCGCTTGCGTGGGGAGTCCGCTTCGGTAATGCATTGAAATGAGGTATTCATACACGTGCCCAATCCAGGGCCTGGCCCAAGGTTGGCAAAGTCAAGCTTAAAATCGTTTTGGATGAAAAGCAAGGGGTATCGTAAAAGGCAGAATCCAGGCATACCTGGACATATGGGGACCTCACATGGATAGTAATTTTGAGGCCCTAACTAAGGCACTGCACAAGCGGCAGCGCAGGTGACTCACTAAGGTATACGCCCCCAAACTGGATAGTATTTCGCATGGATTCATGGCGTAACACATTAGTCTCGCGCGAGGACCACGCGAAACTGTCTGGTTGCGCCATCAATCATGCGAAATACGATCCTGGGTCCAGTGTCGAGGTGGATATTCAGCCGTTAGAGCACTACCTGAGCTGCCGCTTGGGCACGCTTAGTTAGAGGAGCCTCAAAATTACTATCCACGTGAGATCCCCATATGTCCAGACTTGTCTGGACGCTGTCTTCAATATAGGTCTACGTGTACAAGTCTAGGACAATTTAGTACACGGACATGCAAATACACGATTTTGAATATTGAATTAATATTGACATTAATAAAATATTTTGTTTACAACGCACACGTAACGATATAACTAAGAAATTGGGGTCTAAGCGTACATGGACTAGAAGGAGCACAGTCAGAGTATTGCGGAAATTATGTGAGAAGTTGTGGCAAGCTTTTCTACAACTTCTCACTGCCACAAAACATAAAATGGATTGCCTGCAACACACAGATGACGATATGGCACGAAGTTTGATATGCGTATGCACACGGCTAAGGAACAAAGATTGTACTATCACGAAAAACTTACGTGAATAAAGAGCGTGCTTACTTTTTTCCAGCAATTATCCACCTAATGCCCACCCTAGGTAGGCAAAACTTCCAGTAGCCATAAGCTTTTTGAAATTTTTTGATCTGTTTACACTTGAAGCATAGTGCATAGTAATAATTTGCTCCAAAAATCTTCCTCTCCTTCTTGTTAGGATCCGGATTAGCAACGATGCCTGTCTTTTTTTTCAATAGAAAGAGCGCCTCTGATCGAAAAACCTTTTGGAAAGAGCGTTTTTTTGGAAAGAGCGCACTTCAATCGAATAAACTACGCAGCTCCTTGAAAATCGACAGTAGCAAACGCTTCACCGCTGTCCATTTGCCAGCCTCGTGCAGGGCTAGGGCCCAGCTCAAGATGGCATTCCAGTTTTTAAACGAATACCCCTTTGACATTGCAGGAGTACAAATACCGTTTGTGGTGTTTGTAGAAGTACGGCCAATAGTCCGCAGCGAACAATGAGTAGATGAAAGTAAAGAGAACGCAAGAAAAATCAAAGACGAGACAAGGATAGGCAAAAAACCGATTTTTGAGATCATCAAGGTTGAAGCAGGGCAGAGGGGACGTAACTTAGGCCAAGGCAACACTTTATGACTCAGTTTGGTCCCGCGCAGTATCAGGGTGCTCACAAGCTGCGTGGGAGCAATTTAAAATAGAAAAACATTTACAACTTTTTCCATTGACATAATTTTCTTATAGTTTTTCATGAATATCTTTTGGTCGTCGTCGCGAAGGTACACAGAAATTTGGTGGCTCAGTGTTGCTTACTCGTTGTAAACAAGCTGGCTGTTTGTCTTTTTGTGCATAAAATTTGTATTTTAGCGCATTAAAATCGTGTGCACACAGGCTTATGCACCTATCGAGTTCATGGCGTGTAAATTTACCTGTTACTGGTTGAATAACGTCAGAGCTTTGATTTCGGACCTAGTAAAGGTTAGGTTGTGCTTGCTAATAGTTTGGCAAATTTCCGAGAAAGTTGGTTCCCTTTTCCTTCTTTCCAAAAAACAACTTCCAGCTTGTGAAAGCGCCACCTCTGCTGAGCCATATGCTAGACCCTTCGTCTCTAGAGTAGGTCTAAGGGTCCTTCGTCTCTAAGGTAGGCTCATAAATTTTGAAGCTTTTAGTGAAAATTCTTAAAAGAAAATATGGCGAGACATGAAAAAAAGAATAAAATCGTTTTGTATCCGCAAGACTTGCGCTATCAAAACGTTACTTGGAGTTCTTCGAGGAATGGATATAAATTGAATAAAGTATAGTTTTCCTTAATTTCCATCCTAAAACATCTCACAGCTAAAATTTATAGTGTTTTAATTTCTACAAGTAGACAAGGCTTTGATGATTAGGGTGCGATAAGATTGATTTGAAAAGGCCTCCTTTCTTTCAAACGGGTGATAATTGCGAACAGTATTATCAACTAGGCGCACAGCGTTCGGTCGCATTTTAGACCGTAAATAAACCATTAAGAGAAATACAATTTCATAATGAGTAGTGGTAGAGCATCTTTCTTCCTAAATTCTATATTTATTATAAATTAGTGACGTGAGATTCTAGCTAAACAAGGACTATATAACAGGCGGGCAGATATGTTCTGGCGGAACAAACTGAGTCCAAACTATGACACAAAATTCCGGAAAGAATAAGAGAAATGATGAAAGGAACAGCGAACTTTGTTTACATCATGATTCCAGGTCAGTAAACAGTTGCACAGTTTTTATGCACAATTTCCAATCGCATCATGTTGTGCTGCAGCAACTTTTCCGTTGAAAACCGCATCCTTTTTCCTAGTGCAACTGCGAACTGATATTTCCTGGATATTTCGAAACCAATTCTACCTCATTGAGCAGTAGAAGAATTTCAAATACTCTATGGAGACGTAAAAAGTTTGAAACATTTCAAATTTGTTAGACCTGCAATAGTTGATTCGGGGTGCGTTGTATGGGTATCCGCCGCCGGATAAGATTGCAGAATTTTTGGGCCAGTTCTTTTGTAAAATGCCGGAAGTATAATATTTTCATTTTGGGAATCGTGATATTAGGTTGTCCGGAAATTAATGCAGGTTTCTGCAAATACAGTTTCAAAAAGATCGTTCTTCTGTGTGTGCGCATCTTTCGACCAATTTCGCATACTAAAAGAAGCCGCTCTTCATGCTCTCTCTTATATATATTACTTCTACGACCAGCTTCATTTGTTAAAAATCTACAACCATCCGAAGATGAAGTTTTAAATTACTAAATTTACCCTTTGCACTATTTTGGCTTGAACCTATTCGACAAGAGGGGTATTTCCATGATAATATAGGTGAAGCAAGATATTGAGTGAACCTACAAAATAGATAGTAGCGCTTCTTATGAATAATTGTGAGAGTAGAGAAACTCAGGCTTTAACATGAATGATTGTCGCGGCCACTCCATGGCGTAGAAAATTTTTCTAAAGAAAGCAGCCGAGAAAGTTTCTCCTCGTGCTTGAAGAGTGAGGCCAGTGCCGTCAGATATTATCTTAACTGGTACCTCCCAGGCTTTATTTTTGGTGAGTTAATAAAAAAAATCAAAATTATCGGAGATCGCAGCCGTGGAGGAAATATCGAAAAAATGGAAAATTTTGATTCCGCAAATTTTTCTTTAGCAGAAAATTTCTAAAAAAATTTCTGCATAGCTATATAAGTATTACTGGTCAGTGGCTATAAGCTGCAGAAGTTTCTGGCTGAACACTCATATTCGGTAGGAGTTTACAACTTGCCAAATATGACCTTGTCAAAGAAATTTCTCTTTACTTTCTGGCTTCCAGTAACTTGCTTGTTGGAGCTTCAGCTACAAAGGAAAATGCCGCAAATAGAAGAAGACTTGCTGATCACAGTAGCTCTAACCTCACTTCAAAATATGCGATTTCAAAGGAGTTATGACGCTTTGAAGTGAGAATATGCAAAACCTGCATTAATTTCCGGACAGATATTTATTTGGAAAAAAAAGACCTTGAAATCATGTGAATTTTGGCTTTATTTTGAGAGAATGTACTTTTTTGCACTCTGCATATATTTTTTGTAGCATCAAACTTATAGTTTACTTCAGTGATAGATAAACTATAAAGACAAGATAGATGACAAGCGGTGCCAACGTGTGTTTCAAGCTATGGTAACTCGTGGGCAGTTGGACGTTTGGTTCGTCTTCTTATACAGCCTCCCCTCTGGTGAGAGAGATCTATAGGTGGACCCTTAAAATGTTAGCTAAACTGGTTGTTGAAAAGAAAATTACAAAGATATTCTCACTCTTTTTGACGATGCCATGTGAAGGTATTCCAAAAATAGAAGAGAAATTAACAACAACTTCATGGCATTCATCTAAATGAATTGTCATTCAAGCACAATGTGTTTTCTTATTTTTACGCTGAGATTCTGTTAGAGCATCAAACCGAGCTCTATCCGTGCTGTATTAAACTACATGCAACTACGGCACCACTCAAAATGTGCACAATGTTCTGCCCCATCATCGTTGTATCTGAAGATGCAAGTTAAAATTAAGGTGGAAGGAGAAAATAAAGGCGACTAGTTTGCTTACCCGGCTCCAAAGCACGATTGCGATCAGTCACGCATATTTTGGACTAAGATGAGAGTTGTTTTCGCAATAAATTGTGCAGTACATTTGCCAGAATTATGAAATCACAAAACCTCTAATAACTCGTTATCTTGTGAGCTTTTCAAGAATGTCATTTAATTAGGAACAAAAAGTTCAGAGGAAAAAATATTAAAAACGACCACGTGATCTTGTTGAAGCATGTTTTTTTCAACACCAGCAATAGCACAGACACTCAAACTCGTCAAGACAGTATTTCATTTAGTGAACAACAGATGGCTAAAAACTTTGTTGAGCCTACGATATTACATTACCATTCATAACATCTGTAAAAAACTGCAGTGACCATGAGATTTCGTTTATCAGAGTCGGCGGAAGCACGCGTCGCTTCGCTACATTTCGGTTTAGAGCGTGGCTGTATGATAGTCTTTCGGATAGCAAGTACACGTTAGGTAGCCATTCTTAATCTTCTTCAGATTTCGATTATATGAACCTTTCAATGCGCTAACAATAACATTTATATTAATCCGAGCTGATATGTTTCGATGTAATGTAAACTTATTCACATTAGTTTAGAATGCTGCTAAAGTTCCACGTGTTAGTTCTGAGAGTAGTTGTTGTTTTTTGTCATGATTTTATTCTGTAAGAGGCGTTGATGTTGATACATAATAATCATCTGCATTGATATTTCGTCATAAGGCCAATCCAAGAAAGCTGCATACTTTTCGATGCAGTACTCAATGCTCATTTAGAATTCGTTTTTCAAATCTGCTTAACGCTTTTGTGAATAAAGTTATGAGCAGTTTTATTGCAGAAAATAGTGGACAAAAATTGAGAAACTGAGCTTATTGTATTTTCAGCTCACCTCTAAGCTCTGATGTACAATACCACTCTCAGAATGTACAAAATTTACGTGAATGTTGCGGAGTTCCGGAAATTCTCGGAAGTCCGCGACATCTCGAGAATCTCGCAAATTCAACGCAAATCACGCAAGCTACGCAGCGCCATAACTTCCTTCGAAATATATTCTGGGTCCAAAAAAGCATTGAGCTCAGCTCTTTAAGACAAATCTTTCCGTAAACAGAATGTCCTTGAAATTCCGATTTCACTATTCTGCAATTTTTCTGCGGACTTCTCTTCGCAAAGGTGTAAAGCGGCGCTGATTGCCTTTAGTAGATTCCAGCAAGGACATTTCTATAGTACTATTTAGATTATGAAGCGCTAAAAATTAGCTGCAGACTTTTTTCCAAAGGAATAGAAGGGCTGGTAAAATCAACCATGTCTCCAAATTTTAATCACCATAACCCTAAAATATGGAGCTCTTTTGCTGAGTAATGTTATCAGCATGTAAGAAGCAGTAATGTAATCAGTGACGTAATTTTTGTAATCAGCAAGTCGGATAATGAACAAGTTTTCCGAGACGTTATCCCACTTTTTCTCGTTTGACGCTCTGGAGCTCGCCTTTGGTTTTTGGTCAAAATGCTGACGACTGCATTGTATGTATTGTAAGGAAACTTCACTTATAGAGGTTTTCAAGTTCTTCTTGCGGAGATATGGTGAGATAACTGTGATTAAGTCACAAAAGTTTGGTTGCCTGCATTTCGCGCGTGTCTTTTAGAAGTCTTGCCTGCGCTTTCATAGGTCAAAGTCATTAGGAACCATGCTATTGGACGGTGCTTCTGTGTGTTTGTGTCTATCTGTGTCTCAGGCTCCAGTCTATGAAAATCGCTGAGTTACGAACCTACGAAAACATGTCCTCATGAACTTTGCCCAAAATGTAAAGGTCGCATACTTCGTCGAAATCCCACTGTGTGACTGTATAAGACGCTGATCAAATTTTTTCACATCGGTTATTACATCTTCTTGCGTTGAATTTGACAGTTAGCTTGAACTCAGCTCTAATTATGAAACTGCTCTGTCATTCAGTTAAGCAGTTAAAGCATACACAACCGCCATATTCGATACAGTGGAATCTTTTGGGCGAAGTGAACATAATATTTGCAGTTACCCTACTTCACGCGTATAAGGTGCGAAGGATTTTTTTTTCCAAAATCGACCGGCCCAGACACGCCAAAGGACTTTACAACCAAAGAATCCTATAATGTGCTGTATATTGCTTACGAGAATCGTGCGGTTTAAGGATCTCTCTTCGGACTATAGCGAAGCGGCTGAACGCTCGCTTGAAAACTCGAAAAAGTGCACCTTATACGCGTGAAATTAGGGTAGTATGCAACATACAACCACTCACGGTGAGATCTCGATGTCACGGTGAGGTTCACGAAGTAAGCGATCTTTAAATTTCAGGCAAAATTTATGGGGACTTCTTTCGTAGGCTAACTCAGCGATTTTCATAGACTGGAGCTTGAGACAAGCCACTGGTTCCAAACGACTTTAACCTACAAGAGCAAGCAGTTTTCTAAAAGATACGCGCGAAGTGCAGGCAAACTTACGAACTTTTGTGACTTACTTACAGTCACTTCATCATATCTCTGCAAAAAGACCCTGTATTCCTCAAAGACCACAATTTGTCCGAAAATCAAAAAACCGTGTCCGAAAACCTCCACAAGCGAAGTTTCCTCGCAATCCAAAATCATCGACATTTTGACCGAATTCATCGGCGAGCTGTAGTGCGTAAAATATTATAAAATGAGATAACCCAAACGTCTCGAAAAACTTGCTCATAGAAGTTATCCTACTTGCTGATTACAAAAACCACAACTGCTCTGCAAAAGAGCTTCATATTTTAAGCTTATGGTGACTAAAATTTGAAACGACATGATTTTTTCAGATTTCACCAGCCCTTCTATTCCCTTTTAAAAAAAAGTCTGCAGCTAATTTTTAGCGCTTCATAATCTAATTAAAAAGTACTATCGAAATGTCCTTGCTGGAACCTACTAAAGGCAATAAGCGCTGCTTAACATCTTTGCGAAGAGAAGTCCGCAAAAAAATTGCAGGATAGTGAAATCGGAATTTCAAGGACATTCTGTTTACGGGAAGATTTGTCTCAAAGAGATGAGCTCAATGCTTTTCGATTCAGAATATATTTCGAAGGAAGGGCGAGTGAAATTTGAAAACGATTTTTCCAAAATTCACCAACGCTTTTATCTTTTTGGGAAAGAAGTCTGCGGCAAATTTCTAGCGCTCTAAAACCTACAGGAACAGTACTACTGAATAGTACTTACAAGAATCTTTTATCTTTTACGTTGAATAGGCGCTGCGTTATATCCTTGCAAACGGACCTCGCAGAAGAATTTGAGAAAATTAGAAACGAAATATTGGGGACATGCTGCATATAAAAAGATTTGCCTTGAAGAGCTGAATGCAATGCTGTTTTCGGATTCAGAATATTTTCATAAGGAAGTTATGGCGCTGCGTAGTTTGCTTGATTTGCGTTGATTCCGCAAAATTCCCGGAGCGGTATTGTACAGAATGATGCATTGCTTAATGCTAAGCCAAAATGCAGCTCTGCAAAATGCAGAGCTGCATTTTGGCTCAGCATTAAGCCGAGCATGGTTTTGTACTGCGAGATTTGCGCTTTGCATGCACGATTTCTAAGAAAAATAACGTCCTTCAATGTCTCATAACTTCGTCCACATAAAGGATAGCATAGCAGATATAAAATGCAGAATCGAAGTCAGCGTTTTATGCTGCATCTAACGGTATGCAGCTTGTTTAGATTATCCGCTCCAATTTCTGATTATTCCTGTCAGAGGAATGAGCAGAAAGGCGGTGATGTATCCACATTATCCTGCAATATATTTTGTTCTTTTCCGTTATTTGCCACTCAAAAAAAAGATATTGCTTGTTTTCTTCTCCTATATCTGATCCCCAGCAACCTCCTTACGCCATCAACAGATTTTTTTGATAAGAGTCTGTGTTGCTTACCTACCAACGTAGGTTCAACCTATTTCTATTCAGAAATGACCTCAATCCTAATTTCCTAACTTAACAACTTCAAATGAACATCAACATTAAAGGAACATTAACGTGCTTTGAACAAATTAGAGTTTCCATCAAGCGGCAAACAAGCACCATCAAGTTACATCAAGTCAGCAATTTGATTTTTTCTATGATGATAGTGAGATCCGGCCGAAGCACTGCTGTGAGACCAAGATGTTCTGATGGATTGAAAGAGTTGAAAGAGCTCGACATTTCCGGATCCGGCCTGATCTAGCTAAGAGCGGAGCAGGCCAGATCTTCCACCGTCTGGCTTCTCTGCTTCTTAGGTAGTCCCGCTCCACACCTGAGATTAGCCAGATCAGGATTAGCCACAGCAAGTCTACTTTTGCAGGGGTTTTTTCTCTAATCAGAACAAAGAGGAAAAAGAAAATTCTTTGCATATCGAATTCTGCCGGGTGGTAGCAAGAACGATGTCAGCGTCCTTAGAATGCCCTTTGGATGGACAGAAACGACAAGTTTGCTTGGCGATACGCCGTAATGACTGCCACAGGCATTGCAGCGTAGAGAAGAGCCTGGGGATCAGCGTTTGTGCCTCTCCCCATGTGCAAATCCAAGAACAATAACTTAACTTCCGAAAAGTTGAAATTAGAAAGATGCTTTTACAAAGCCTGTCTTATCCTAGTCTGCATAATTTCTTAATAACCCTAGCCTATGACATCTCCCCCCCCCCCTTTTCACCGCATATTTACTTGCAACACACACATACACAATCACACACACACGCACACTACCAACACACACCAACAACACATACATGCACACCCGTACACACATGCATACGCAGACACACACATACACATACACACAACACACACACCAACACGCACACAACACACACAACACACACATACACACATACACACACATACATACACATACACACAACACACACACCAACACGCACACAACACACACATACACACACATAGACACACATACACAATACACACACATACACATACACACATACACATACAGGGTGCGGCAAAAGTCTGGGAGACTGGTACTTTTTCGTATATAACGAGAAGGGAAGTACCTAGAAACGAAAAATTTGACGTACACATAATTCGAACCATTGCAGATACAGACCAGTTTTTGAATTGCAAAACTGCCTCTTTTGGCTTTCACCAGCCCTACAAAATCTTGGCAAGTCCACCTGTCATGGCACGCAGGTAGTCGTAATGGAATTCGCCCCACGCCTTCACAGTAATTGCTTTTTTACCTCGGCAAATTCGCAGCGTGATAGAGCAAACTTTTTTCTACAACTTACTTCCAAAAGAATTTTTTGCATTGCTTAGGAATAAAAATATTGGATTTTCAATTAGAAGCATGTGTATTCGCATATCGGAATTTTGGCTACAATCGCGTGAATAAAAATAAATAATACTTAAAAATAATTTAAAAAGTATAAAAAGTGTTTCCATGGCCGAATTTTAATAGATTCTAACTTAGAAGACGTATGCAAGAAATACAGCCTTGGTTCCAGTGCCTGTTGAGCATTCTATAGCTTTTAAATTTGTTCTGAAAACATTTTTATTTTTTTTTAAGTATTTTCACTGGCACGTAGGTAACATTCGCAAAATTTTATTTTCCGTTCATGCAAGAACAGCTTCTGGCAAAAGCAAAACTAGGATACAATAGCGCCAAGCCTTTTCTATGTTGTGTGCATCAAAGTTTTGTAAAATATTAACAGCATCTCTAGTTGCAGCAAAAATCGTAAATACCAAAAATTCTGGTTTTTTCGCTTTGCAAAAGAACTAGTTTGGTAATTTCCATTCTTACAAAATATAGCAGCCGTTTCCAGCCAAATAAAGTGTATTCTGTAGAGGATGAAAGCAGCATCATGTGGCATAAAACTGAAATTAAAACCATCACTATCTTTGTAATTGCAGTACTGCAAAGTTAGGCTCAAAACTTTTGCCGCATCCTGTACATACACACACCACCACACACACACCAACACACACATACACACACATACACACATACATATACACACACATACACATACACACACACACATACACACATACGCACATACACGCACATACACACACATACACACACATACACACATACGCACATATTTACCACTACATAGAGCAAAGCAAACTCTAAAAAATGGGCCCGTAGCAACTCATTCATCTCAGCTATTAAGACCGCCCAACATTCCAAACTTTGGATAGCATGTTCAACAGTTGGAAGACCATCCACTCAAGTGCCGCGACAGTTCAGCAGGATGCCACTAAGTTGAAGGTAGACTAAATTTTACTAAGAAGAGTAGACAAAAGCTGAGGAACAGATAAAAATTCTGACGAGGTCACTCAAGCTCACGTTCTTTTGTGGCGCAATTTTCGCAGTGCACAATTGCGGGGCCTAAATGATTGCAAGGAAGAAATAGGAACTAAATTTTTTTATTTCTTGCGGTGCCAGGTCGTGCCTGATTTTTTTAAATCGCTTCAAATGGAAGAATTGTATATTTATCTTTTCATCCATGTTTCGACAATTGTGACATTGTGACAATCAATGCACGCCAATACGATATTGTGAAGTTGTCCCAAATTTTTGCTAGCTAGGCAGAGTCTCTATTAGCGATTATCATCATACTTCGATAATGGCAAGACTATCAAAGACTGCCTGGCTGCCTGGCGAGCAGCAAAACTTTTTTGCCACTAGCATCTCGGAACGCGGTCGTCGGGTTGAATCCCAATCATCTTAGCCGCTAGATCAAACCTGCTCAAGCATTTCCAAGGATAACCATGCCTAGGAAATGGTCTGCCAGATAGCTCGCTGGATGCAGATCACTTCATCAGATCAGATCTACGTTTGACTTAGGCTCGCCTTGGCCGAGTTGCGCTGAACGGATGTTTACTATGGGTGTGGTTGTAGAAATTCGCACCAACTCTCACTGGAATTTTGAAAAAAAGTTTGTGAAGCCCTGAGATAGTTTTTAGGGAATTTATATCTTACAAAGAAATCCTGCAGATATGCACTCGCTCACGCAAATACATCAGAATTCATATGCTGCGATGCCGAGTTCCACACAACACTCCAAAACCTCAATCAAAACTTAACAAAAATTTTAAAAATGGTTAAAGCATTTCCTGCCAAATAGATTTGATTGGGCAGAAGGACTCAGTAACCATCTTGAAAGACATGATAAACGTTTATTTTCTAAACTGCTTGTTCAAACCTATCCGTAATAAGCATCAGAGCAAGTACCGCATACATGGATACAGAAGGGAGAAGGTTGAAGGCAGCGACTAATTCAAAGCCCTCCGATTGCCATCATCTAGCCTAGTAGGCTCCAGAAGAGAATATTTTATAGCATACCTTATGTGGGGACAGAACATCATCGTTTTGGTTATAACATGACGATTTGTGTCTAGTGCGTGTGTTTGTGTGCGCAACGTACAGAGATATACACTGGGCACAAACTGACCTATGTACCACGGTGTTAGTGGGTTAGTCACGGCAACAAAATGTAGACGGACGAAAGTGAGCATTGCTTCATGGATTGATCGTTATATATTCGCAAGCTATAGATCACATATCGACAGCAATAACAAGGGTTCGCTCTTGATAAACTCTAATTGTTATTCCTTCTTGACTGACAAGGTGGTAAGCACATTCGCTCGCCTTTTTAGCTAACTGCCTTTTAATTCTTGATCATGATTCTCACTTCTCAACCAAAGCCTTGATGCAATGCTATGTTCGAAAATTAAGGAGCATTTAACGAAAGCGAGCGAATGTGTTAACACCATTAGGAAATCTGCAAGAGAAGCACATTATTGCCGAATTTTTATGTGGCAATTTTAGCATGTTAGGCAGAGATTACAGCACGAATTCATGTGAAAGCGGCATGGATTTGCCCAGGCATTCGAGCATGATAGAAAAATAAGGTTCATCACTAGCTCGAACGCCAAGACTGTCGATATGTCCATGCATATTTCTAAAAATCATTCCACAATGCGTGTGTGTGTTGTGCTTGTAAAGCAAAGACTGAAGGCCAGCCTACAGTATGGAATATCGCGATAAACGCGCCCACTCTGAGGCATCGGGCATACCTTACGCGATTTCGATCGCTGCGCGATTATTCCACCGGACATATGTTCCTGACCCCTCGCGCTCAAAAATTTAAGAGTGTGGGTCCCTCCACATTCATGCCAGTTTGCAGGAGCGACATATCGCATGCCATCGCGAGCACGTTTCTGACGGGCAATACCTCTAGTGGCGATATCGCCACGACATCGCCGAAAGTGAAAGCAATCGCATCGCAGAGTCTGCACCAGCGACCGGCGATTCGTCGCGTTGCTTTCCTTTCTCTGGAGAGATTTCGCGTTTTTTTTATCACAACTGATGCATCATGCGAATAGCACCGCATGACCTGCGCTTCCTCTGCTCACCTTTCTCTTATTCCACTTATACACCTTAACTCTAGATTTACGGAAGCAACAAATTGTCTTGGCAATAACGTAAGTGTTTCTTCCCCAGTTTCTTTGTATTTTTCGCTTTCTTCATAATCTTCTGAGTAACTGAATGTTTTCTACTGTGAACTTGTCTGTTGCTTTATTGTTACTACTTTACTTTACGATTGCTGCTACCCTTGATTTGCACCTCTGGCTGCGGTACGTGTGGCTAATGTGTCGGCTGTAAAAACTTGCAGCCAGCATGAAATAGCATGTTGGCGGCAAAATCATATTTGCCATCCTTGAGCAACATGTTGCTCATGTTGCTGCATAACCATACGTGCCGAAGTCAGAGATGCAAACCAAGGCTAGCAAAGTGGAATAAGCGATGCTGTGGTGCACGCGTCTATATGCCTAATTAGCGTCGGAGATTAGTGTGTGAAAAGGGAGTGAGAGATGCTAGACGAATCCAAAAACTCGATAATGTTTGCGTTTATTCGGGCATGGCGTGTGAGCTACGAGCCTATGAAAGGTATGCCCAAAATAAGCGACATGCGATTAGTCCCGAAGCGATTGGACGCCGAAGCGTTCGATGCCTCAGCTTTCAAAATCGTTACGATCATGTCGCCAAAGGTATGCCTGAGGCCTAATGAAGCCCTCAGACTGCGCCGTTGCCGCTTTCGCAGCCGAAGCGCACCGGTCAGATTGTTTCAATGAATCATGTAGTAGACATTCTTACTAATGGGATACTTGCAACTTTTATGCCCTTTGCTTCGCTTCAGCTTTCCCTTCGACGCTACTGCTATATCGGTGAATGATGAAATATGACTGACAGGGGAAGTCACTTAACTTAGGTCAGCCTCTTGAAATGAGACATATATATTTAGAATCAGCTCGGAACGCTGATTCCAAATATGCTGTCCCTAGCTGCGAAGCGTTCCTGTGAAGCGAGTTATGAGTTTTTTAGTATGTGTAATTGACAAATAACTGAATATGGAAAGAAGCCCTTTAGATAAAAATCTGCCTAAAAAAGTGGTGGGAAATCGAAACTACATCGAATTGAGTCACTTGGCTTTGATAGGGTGTTGTATGCGTTTGAACCACTACCTGGATGATGATAGCGTAGCATGCCTAAGTCGGTCAGCACGCAAACTTTGCTTAGGTAAAAGCTCACAGCTCGCTTCAGAGGAACGCTTCGCAGCTAAGGACAGCATATTTGGAACCAGCGTTCCGAGCTGATTCTAAATATATGTGTCTCATTTCAAAAGGCCGACCTAAGTTAAGTGACTTCCCTTGTGAGAAGCTGAGCTTTTTGTTGTCTTGTGGCTCCTCTATTATGCTCAATAAGCGTTGATTCGAAACGATGATCTCTCTATTCTTTTTGACTAAACCTGTTTTACCATGTTGTACGAACCTGGAATCTTCTTGCAGTTAGAGTTTTGTTGACTACTCAAAGTGTCAAGTTATTTTACTACTTTGAAGTGAATGATTCTTAGCAAAATTCTCCTCGTCCTGAGGTTGTTTTAGAACGAGTAAATTATGGATGTACATCAAGACGGAAAACAGCGAAATGACTCCTAGACAATAGTTCGTTCGCATAGCATAGAAGAACCGAAAGCGAAACAGTGCATCAATTCGCTACAACGATATCGCCCAGCAGCACAGTAAAACAGCTTTAAACAAAGAAAGTACAAAAAACGTTTCGAATTGATAAAGTCTACCCAACACAGTAGACCATGCTTAAGACGGAAAGTGTTGCAATCACATCGCTCTAGCATACCAATGTCGTCGAAATGAAGGCTAGGTACTTGCTAGAAAAGAAGCACAGATTGAACAAAAGTAAACCTTCAACAATCTACCACTCCACACGCCCGCGAATGGAATCTGACTCTGTGCGCTCCGGCCGCAAAAGCGGCAACATACGCAAAAGTAGCTACTGGTTGCGAATGCGGTCGCAATCGGCGCGGTCTGGAAGTTCGTTGAGGGTTGGACCAGGCAGCCCGGTGTACAGTCTGCACCAATCCCAACCAGGCCAAAAATGGCATGGCGGGAGTCTGTGTCGCGAGAATATTACGTCGCGTCTACTAATTTAATTAACTAGCTAATTTTTTCCTACACATCAGTGCATTTTAGCATGAAAGACTGTAAACTAGTCCCTCGATAGCTCAGCTTCTCAGTCATATTTTATCATTCACCGATATAGCAGTAGCGTCGAAAGGAAAGCTGAAGTGAAGCAAACGGGCATAAAAGTTGCAAGTATCCCATTAGTAAGAATGTCTACTACATGATTCATCGAAACAATCTGACCGGTGCGCTTCGGCTGCGAAAGCGGCAACGGCGCAGTCTGAGGGCTTCATTAGGTCTCAGGCATACCTTTGGCGACATGATCGTAACGATTTTGAAAGCTGGGGCATCGAACGCTTCGGCGTCCAATCGCTTCGGGACTAATCGCATGTCGCTTCCTCTGCTCACCTTTCATAGGCTCGTAGTTCACACGCCATGCCCGAATAAACGCAAACATTATCGAGTTTTTGGATTCGTCTAGCATCTCTCACTCCCTTTTCACACACTAATCTCCGACGCTAATTAGGCATATAGACGCGTGCACCACAGCATCGCTTATTCCACTTTGCTAGCCTTGGTTTGCATCTCTGACTTCGGCACGTATGGTTATGCAGCAACATGAGCAACATGTTGCTCAAGGATGGCAGATATGATATTGCCGCCAACATGCTATTTCATGCTGGCTGCAAGTTTTTACAGCCGACACATTAGCCACACGTACCGTAGCCAGAGATGCAAATCAAGGGTAGCAGCAATCGTAAAGTAAAGTAGTAACAGTAAAGCACAGACAAGTTCACAGTAGAAAACATTCAGTTACTCAGAAGATTCTGAAGAAGGCGAAAAATACAAAGAAACTGGGGAAGAAACACTTACGTTATTGCCAAAACAATTTGTTGCTTCCGTAAATCTAGAGTTAAAGTGTATAAGTGGAATAAGAGAAAGGTGAGCAGAGGAAGCGCAGGTCATGCGGTGCTATTCGCATGATGCATCAGTTGTGATAAAAAAAACGCGAAATCTCTCCAGAGAAAGGAAAGCAACGCGACGAATCGCCGGTCGCTGGTGCAGACTCTGCGATGCGATTGCTTTCACTTTCGGCGATGTCGTGGCGATATCGCCACTAGAGGTATTGCCCGTCAGAAACGTGCTCGCGATGGCATGCGATATGTCGCTCCTGCAAACTGGCATGAATGTGGAGGGACCCACACTTTTAAATTTTTGAGCGCGACGGGTCAGGAACATATGTCCGGTGGAATAATCGCGCAGCGATCGAAATCGCGTAAGGTATGTCCGATGCCTCAGAGTGGACGCATTTATCGCGATATTTCATACTGTAGGCTGGCCTTCAGTCTTTGCTTTACAAGCACAACACACACACGCATTGTGGAATGATTTTTAGAAATATGCATGGACATATCGACAGTCTTGGCGTTCGAGCTAGTGATGAACCTTACTACAGCCACAAAATGATAAAATGGTTTGATTGCAATACAAAGATGACGATATGGCACGAAATTCGATATTTCTACGCACACTAGGCTTGGGAACAAAGTTTGAACTATTAAAAAACTCATTTGAAAAAAGAGCGCGCTAACCTTTTTCCAAATTAGGTGGACAGCTGCCCACCTAGTGCTCACTTGCCATAAGCTTTTTGAAATTTTTTAATCTTTTCTACACTTGAAGCATAGTGCATAGTAACATTTTGGCTCCAAAAATCTTCCTCTTCTCCTTGTAAGGATCCGGAATAGCAACAACGCCAATCTTTTTTTCCAATAGAAAGAGCGCGCTCTGATCGAATAACCTACACAGCTTCTTAAACATAGTAGCAAAGTCGCTTCACCGCTGTCCATTTGCCAATCTCGTGATTGGCCACTCAGCCCAAGATGGCATTCCAGTTTTAAACGAATACCCCTTTGACATTGCAGAAGTACGAATACCGTTTGTGGTGTTTGTAGGAGTACGGCCAATAATCTGCAGCGAATGATGAGTACATGAAATTAAAAAGTACGCAAGACAAAACAACGACAGGCAAAAAA